CGCCCCGCCCCGCCCCGCCCACTTATTCCGATCCCTGAAATAGGCTTTCCGCTTGTCATATGATGAAACATCAAGGCATTTTTAGCATGATATAATTAACAACTGCGACACGTTTAAGCCTGACCCGTTTTCCTTTTTTAGTATAACGGTTCGAAAGCTTTAAGTCGATTGCTAAGTTTTCACGTTATATTTTGTTGGATAAGTTGCTCATTTTTCGGTGATCTTTCCAAATGTTCTTAGGTATAATGTATTTGTACTCATGAGAGGTGCACGAAGCAGACTGTACCGGTCTCATGAGGTACTCTACACTCATGATCTCTCTAAATGCAGCGGCGAATTTTTTCTTGCCCAGGAAAGATATCATATCTTTTAATTATGTCAGTCACTTCCCATACCGTTTTGTAAATAACCAGCCTAGACAAACATTCCTCTATCCGCCTGCCCTAAGTTTTCCTCAATACCTGCACTTCTGGATGAACTGGAATAACCGTTTTGGGTAGAATAACAAGTCATTAAAAAGGCCAAATAAGAAGTTTTAACTTTTTAATTTTTATTAAAAAAGAAAATGTGATTGAAAATGGCGACAACAAAAGCTATTGCGGCATTATTAAGTCCTCTGGTTCTATTCTATCATGAAGGGGAAGGTGATATGACGTAGAACCGTCATTCCGCAGCCGGACCTTGAGAACTCCTCAGGAATGAGCTTGAGCGCCTGCCTAGCTAAGCTTGTGACAGGAAGCCGACGTTTAGAAACTGTCACCAATCTCTGATCAAATCGCGTCTCGTTTCCTTCTTCTTGTTCTTCTTCTCCGATGAAATAGAAATTATTTGCGTGTTGATTTTTTTTCACGTCACCAGCTGTTTTTACCTGCTCACTGCACCTTTGTAACATGTTTTCCCGATCATATTGGTCACATTGGTTGTGTTTCTTGCATTCACTCACTCACTCTCTCTCTCTCTCTCAACTGATTTCTATCCGCTCTTTTTGCCTTTGTTCAACTGTCCTATTCATCACTCACTCTCTCATCATTTCTCACTGTGATTCCGAATTCAGTCCCGAGACGGAAAATACTCTGTTATTTGTTATTCTTATATAGTTTTAGGGATGTCGGAGCCCATCATCAGCTGTGTTACTACATTGAACCTCCGTGGTGTAGAAAGAGGTAAGAGACAAAACCCGGTTCGGTGACTGAAAATTTCCTCCTCGTTTGTTGTTGACCTTCTTGTGGGGTTTTCGAATGGTGATGATGGTGGTGTGGCACCACTTGATAAGCATGTCTCATGGAATCTTCTATCTGAGATTGGTTAACCATTTGTGTGTCCCGCACCAGTATGTATTCGGATCAATAAAGATCACTGATTTTTGATTTTCACATACCAAATGATTACTGTTTACTAGCTCGTTTTTTAATAATTATTA